AAAATAAGGATCTCATTACAGAGGAGGACTTTTCTGAAACCGTAGACAGACCAATAAAGTTTGACACTATAACCAAACCTTAGATTTTATTAGACAAAGCAATGCAACTTATCTTAGGTAAGACGTAGTTGGGGTGCTAATACATTTCTTTTACACAACTAATCTCCATACCCCATCTCTAAGACCAGTTAGGGTTCCTAATGACTAAAATACTAGGTGGTGATTCTCATTCCAATTTTCTACTGATAAGAGATAAGAATTCATTGTCTCTCCATATTTTGTAAGAATAGACTATACATCTGTCTATTACATACATATTTTTTAGTGTGGACTATCACCGCACATATGTGACATTGGTCAGACTAAAGATGGTCTTTATGCTTTGACTAAGTCTTCTATCACGTCAATTCCTGAAGCTTATTGGTCTCCTTGCATATCTGCTTCTGTTGATCTATGACATTGTCGACTGAGTCATCCTACCTGTATTTTCATTTTTTAGTCTAAAAAGTCTAAAAAAATAAGAGTGGTTGTAATAACAAACGTTTTCATTTTCAATGTCAAACTTGTCCATTATAAAAATAGTAGTATTTGTCTTTAAGACCTACTGGCCATGAAACTTCTACTCCATTTGAATTATTTTTTAATGATATTTGGGGTCTTGATCCTCTTTTTTCATCTGATTGTTTTCACTATTTTGTTATTTTTTTTCATGCACATACAAAATATATATGGTATTACCCTTTTATTGCAAAGTCTAATGTTTACTTCGTTTCTCATCAATTTTCAAACTCTTGTTTAGCGTCAATTTTCACTAAAAATTAAATATGTTCAAATTTATTATGGTGGTGAATACCACAGGTCATCCTTTTTCTTTCAAATCATTGGTATTCATCATTATCTAATTTTTCCTCACACTTATGAACAAAATGGAACAGTTGAACATTGTCATAGGCATATTATGGAAATCAAACTTACATTTCTAGGACAGTGTAAATCACCATTAAGATTTTAGAATTATGTTTTCAAAACCTCAATTTATCTTATTAAGTGAATGCTTACTCTTGTCCGTGAAAGTAGATCTCCTTTTGATTGTCTTTTTCAATTGTCTCTAGATTACCAATTTTTTCTATTTCTACGTCCCTATCATAAACATAAATTAGATTTTTGTTCCTCTCTATATATGTTTTTAGGGTATAACTCTTCTTATCTTGGTTATAATTGTCTTGATATCGCATCTCAACGTATTTATATCTCTTGTCATGTCTGTTTTTATGAACATGTTTTTCCTTTTAACAAATCTGAACATATTGCACAATCCACCTCTCATTCTTCAAACTACTTCGACCTTGCCCTTCTACCTAATCTGTTAAACTCCCTGTTGTTTTCACACTACTACAAATTGCATAAGATCAATAGTAGTGACGCCTTTATTGCAAGCTCTGCCTCTAATTCTAGTGGTGGGTTAAATCTAGTTGTTGATTTGTCTTCTTATTCATTGTAGTGGGATCCTCCTTTGCACTCACCTCTATCTGTATCGTCGCCCATAGTCAGTAAGCACCCTATGGTCCTTCGTCCATCATAGCCAATCTGAATGCTTTTTCTACCACTATTGCCACTTTTGTCACTCGAGTAATGTCTTCTCTTAACTCTGAACCTATTGCATTCTTTGATGCTGATGTGCGATGAAATTCAGGCTTTGTGCTCTAACAACTCTTGGTCTTTGCTTCCCTTTCATCCTTTGATGAACGTTATTGGCAGTTGGTAGGTTTACAAGATGAAGCAATGTGTTGATGGCAACGTTGAGAGGTATAAGACGTTCTTGCTGAAGAAGACATTGATTACTCTAAAATTTTTAGTCTGGTTATTAAGTAGACAACCATTAGATTAGTCTTCTTAATTACAGTTTTGCGTGATTAAAAAATCCATCAACTTGATATCCATAATGCTTTCCTCCATGACGTTCTTGCTGAAGAAGTCTATATGAAATGACCTTTAGGTTTTTTTTACTCTACTTTTCCATTTTATGTGTGTTGGTTGTATAAGTCTCTGTATGGTTTAAAACAGGCATCATGGGCATGGTACACTCGTCTAAGTGATTTTCTACTCTCTATTAGCTTTCATGCTTCCAAGGTTGACACCTCCTTATTTATTTTGTCTGGTGGTACTAATATCTTCTATCTTCTTATTTATATTGATGATATCTTACTTACATGCAACAACTCTACTATGATTCACCTTCTGATATAGGTACTGAGCCTAGAGTTCAAACCTCATGACTTAGGTGCAATTCACTATTTTTTAGGCATTAAAGTTCACTCTATTAGTTTGATTTGGATGTTACAATAGCATAAGTATATTCTTGGCATCCTTACTCAGGCTGGAATGACCTCCTACAAACCTGTTGATACTCTTATCTTTACCTTCAAAGTTACCATACTACCAGATTCCTTGTTTTCTAACCCTACACGGTTTTTTCAAATTATGGGTGCTTTTCAATATCTCACCTTTACAAGACCAAATATTTATTTTGTTGTTAACAGAGTCTGTCAGTTTAGGCATGCTTCCATAAATTCTCATTGGGTTGTCATTAAACGTATTCTACTTTGTCTTAAAGGTACAACATCCTATGACTTACATATCACTCACAGTTCCTCCTTTACTCTACATGGCTTTACAAATACAGATTGGACAAGTAGTATTGATGATTGCAAGTCTATGGTGGTTACCTTGTTTTTTTGGTTAGGTGCTAATTTCATGGAAATTAAGAAATAAATGCATAATTGCCCGCTCCTTTATTGAAGTTAAGTAAAAAAGCTTAATAGATGACACTGCTGACATTATCTGGCTTTGATATTTATTAACAGATTTGCAGATCCCTTTTGCCTTTACTCTTACCAATTGGTGTGATAATCTTGGTGCAACTTATTTATCTACAAATCTTATCTTTCATGTTTATACTAAACATTTTGAGGTTGATGATCATTTAGTATGAGATAGGGTTGCGAAGAAAAAAATTCAGATTCATTTTATCTCTTCTCAGGATTAACTTCCAGATGTCTTTACTAAACCAATTCCTATTAATTCTTTTACTACTTTTCTATTCAAGCTTCGGGTTGATCCTCCACCCTCAACTTGAGGGAGTATATATATATAGAAAATACTATAGGACTACTCTAGTGTTGTAATATCTACCCTTACTATTGTATATTACCCTATACATATAAAAAGAAAAGGTTGGCTAACTGATAAATCAAGCCATCTATTGTTCTCAACTTGATAAAAATTCAATGATCTCAACATAGCAATTCAAAAAATAAAATATGATGGATTGTGTAAAAAGAATGATGGTTTAATACCAAAGTAAAAATTAAATAGAATTTAATAAAATAAAACAAAATCCTTCATTAATCTAGGAATTTTAAAGAATATATTATATTTTAAATTATATAATTTTTAATAATTTAAATATGAATGGTCAAGATTTGTTTTAAAAAAGAAACTAGACGTTCGAGCATAGGCGGCCTAAAAATAAGCTCAAGCCCACGTGTTTGAGTCTTTTTTATTTCTTCTTCAAATTAGATAGACAATATGTCATACAACCAATTTTTTAAAAAAGAATCAAATGACATGTTGTTGTCCTGCCTAGATTTCACCTACCATGGAGGTGAGTGGAAAATCAAAGGTTTGTTTTTTATTTAAAAACCCATTTTTCAACCCATCTTTATCTAAAAACATTGTTATAACCTCCTCCAAAAACTAATTTATCAATCCAAAAAATCTAAAAACTAGGTTCTTTAATTCATTTTATGGTCGATTCAAAGATTTTAGGTAAATCGACTCAACTCAACCCAGTCAGGTCAAAATCAAGTCAAAGAGTTAAGATCTTATTTCGTTTACAATCTTTTTGCTAAAGAGTTTTTTGGTTTAAGGGTGTTTTGCAAACACCCTCTTACGCTTGTTTTAATAGTTTTATTACAAAGAAAACAGATTTTTGTCAAAAAAAGTTAAAAATATATTTTGTCTTGCATATGGCCAAAAATACTTAAAATTACTTGAGTATTTAAAAAAAATAAAATACTTTGGCAAGTTTTAGAAAAGGGTGTCGCGTGGATTTATAATAAGTTTGTAAGGTTCCCATGGATTTTTTCCTATATTTTAAAAATATTAAAAATTTATTTTTGACAAGAGAATATATTATTCACTTTTAATATAAAAATAATAACCTACAAAAAGGTCAATATCCAAAATATTATTAGAGATAATGATTTATTATTAATCACCTTTAATATAAGGATTAGAGGATTAGAAAAACTTGTATGAGATTAATATCTAAAATATTATTGGAAGTCATACAACTCATTCACTCATAATATTAGGATAAAAAACTGCAAGGAATTTTATCTGAAATATTATTTGAAATGACCTAATATCCAAAAATTTCAAGTTTATCCTAGAAAAAAACTTAATGATAATTGAGAACATTCTACTATTCCAGACCAAATTCTTGATCTAGAAAACTAAAGTTTGTTCATTGTAGCAAACCCATTATAATAGATTAATAGAAATAAAAATATCATCAGACTATAGCAAACAAGGATGGTACAACACTGTGTATTCATTACATTATAATTTTTAATTTCTAAAATTTATTTATAATCAAGTTACACTGGATTATTATCCCATTTTAATTTCTAACCAATGATTTTTATATATATGACACATTAGGTTCTCTAATAATTTGGCTCAAATGTAAATCACAATTCTAAATAAAGTAGAAATAAATAAATTAAACAAATTAATTTACTTTCAATTCTATAATTAATTAATTTATATTTGAAGATCAAGTATAATGTCTAGTAACTTGTTATGATTCTCAAATAATAAAAAAGTTATAAATAATTTGATTAAAATTTTTTGTTATCAAATTCTTACTATAATTATTATCTTTTTATTAATAATATTTTAATTTAAACATTATAACTTAAAATATATCTATTTTATCACATCAAGTAGGGCCTCACACCAATATGGTCACCGAATTCACATTTCTGGATCTGTTCAGGAAGTGGAAGATGCCCAAACTCAGCTTTGACCTTGGCCTTGGCAGGTAAACCGATTTTGACCCAATCATCTACGAAGTCACTGCGCATAAATTCATGAAATAATTAATTTGACTTTCCATCATTAATCATCACTTCTCCACGTAACTCATTTTGTTTAAGGAAAAAAAAAAACAAGAAGAAAGCCATACTAAGCAGTCGAACCATCCTCTGGGAGAGTCATAAGCCTCTTTATCCCACCACAGCGACTATGTCCAATGACCAAGATATTTTCTACCTGTCAAACTCTCTTTTAGTTAGCAATCAGGAATTCCTCTAATAAAATTGACGTATAAAGAAAAAAGGGAAGTGTTCAAGAGTTTAAGATGAACGTAAATTTACCCCCAAACTCGCCACAGCATATTCAATAGCTGCTCCAACTCCAGAGTATCTCAACTGTGTGTCAGACCACCATATCAGTTCCATAATACATGCATGAATCATTGAGAATAAACGTAGATTAACTACTCATAAATAAGATTTCAGAATTCAGTTCTTGAGACCTGGTTAAATGCAGGAACCAGGTTAGCAATGTTGCGGAACATGAAGGCTTCACCAGGTTGGAAGTCCAGGACATGAGAAGGGCTGACCCGGGAATCAGAGCATGCGAAAACCAGAAACTGCATCATGGGATTATCTTAAAAATCGTTTGATTTAATTATTGATTATACACCAAGAAATTAAATATTACCTTGGGGGACTGGCCTTCTGCAAGTTCACGGTACAACTCTGGATACTTGCTGCAAGAGTAAATATCCAAGGAATTCATAATCATAAAACCACATATATATAGCTATTGATCATTTGGTTGAGTTGCATTATCGTACTCAAATTTAGTGGTCTTGAAGCGATGAAACCCATCCAGAATTCTTCTAACTGGATCACAGTGATGATCATGAGGCCTTTTCCCTTGCAACTCAGCGATCAGCTTCTCAATTTTTGCCTCAACCTCCTTGTTCGACTGGTCATCCTTTTCACTGCAAGCAAGATAGTAATTGTATATAACCCTCGCAGAAGTTTAGCCCTTTAATCCATTGACAATCATCAGTTTTTGAACAAAATTGGAGATTTAATTAGATATTTGTGTCAAACAAAACCAAGTAGGGTTATGGTTCATTTTTCAAGTGAAACGAACACATGACACTTTGGCAGTCATGTGTTTATTAACTTAGCTGCCTGAACGTTTGGTTAAATTATAATTAATCCCTTCGCAAGTTTATTTGATCAACCAGTCCTTGAACAAATCAATTTCAATTACTTTTTACCTTTGTGACTTATAATCCATTTTTGTTCGAGGATTATAAACACTTTTACTCTTAATTTAACCAACATAAAATGACTAACAAGAAGATTACTTATCAATCAGAAGCTTCTTCAATCCTTCAATAGCCTCTTCATGTGACAGATTACTCATGCCTGTATATCTACATGAAATAAAATAAAAAAACATTTTTTTTATTAAAGGAGCACTATTCAGTCATAAAATAATGATAATATAAAAAGAATAATAACACGTATAAAATTTTACAATTCATTCTCAATGCAATGCACTCGATTGAATAGGTATATCTCACAGAAATTTGTAAACGATTTCTTGATACCAAACATAAAAATTTGAAGGGTAAGTTATACAAAATGAGAGGGGGGAAAAAGAAGAAGAAGACGAGACCTTTTGCTAGCTAGGAAATGGGAAGTTGTGGCTTGAATATATATTGATATTCACTAGAAAACTTGGGCACAATTTTGCAGCAAACTCAAGTTCTTATTTATAGTCCATGCGCGGCATACGTTTCACCGACTTCCAAAATGTTAATTTCCTCAGATGAGAGAATACTTGACAAAACAACCATTTGTTTAGAAGCAAAATTTACAAACGTTTTACATACATTGATATTGACATCAATTTATATTTTAAAAAACAGAATTGAAAATGCTTGCGTGAATGGTTAGTTCACTAGGAATTATTATAAGCATGTGAATGTACATTTCTTTGATCTTATCTTAATAATAGAATGAATAAATTGAAACCCTATGGTCATCAATTCAGCTCTTGTGTATACAGGGTTAATCTCATATATATTCACTAGCTACACACCAATCTCAAATAGATTCTTGAAAAAAAAAATTATTTGTTTAATTCCTGTATCAGAAATTCTCAATAGGTTTCTCGATCCAAATCTTTTAATAATTTCTCATATTTTACTCGCTAAAAAAATTTATTTTTTGAACACTGCAAATATGAATATGTTTAAATTTGTTCATGCAAATCGTGTTTTATATGAAAAATACAACCAATTGATCATCATTAGCCTTCTATCGTCAGTTTAGCTTGATTCAGAGCATGTGGAGGACGGAGACAAATATAAAAGTTTCCAAATGTGACAGAGTAGATCTATTTACTGGAATTAGTTTTCAAATGCCAATTTAGCTCAAATAAAAAATAATTAATTAATTAACTTAACATTTTGATTTTATTCATGTCTTTCTAATATTTATTATTATTTATTTTCAAAAAGCTTTATGTAGTTTAATGGATGGGTTTTTGTTAATAAAGACACAAAAAATTGCATACCTCGTGACAAATCAACATTATAGTGTTAGAAATATTTTAGGATGTAAATAAATAAGGAGTTGGTTTAAAAACATGAAAACACTATATTTAAGATATTTATCTATTCTATATAGAAATAACACCTCCATGATGCAACGAAACTCTTTAAATCTGTAAAAGAATGAGAAGATAAGACAAAAAAAAATTTATTTTTTTATTATATTTTTTTTTTGTGTAGTAACAAACATTAATAGATTTGAAAATAATGTAATGAAACATTATATTTTTTAATATTATGATTGTAAATGAAATTATATGACTATTAATGAAATAATTATATATTTTAAATTAACCTGAATGGTTGTTATTCAATTTTATTTCAACAGTTATAAATATAAAAATTAAATAAATTAAATAAAAAATAAATTAATTTCTTTGATATTTTAAGTTCTAAAGTGCAAGTGTCATAATTGATATTATAAATATCTATATATCAGCATTAACAAACTCATTAAAAAAAGTTTTTTCAACGTGATTTTCATTTAATGTACTATACAATAAAAATTTATATGTATAAATACTCAGAAAAAAGTATTTTTTTTAAATTTAAAATTTATAAAAATTTACAGATTAGATCTATTTACTGGAATTAGCTTTCAAATGCCAATTTAGCTAAAATAAACAAATAATTAATTAATTTATCATTTTGATTTTATTCATGTCATTCTAATGTTTATTATTATTTATTTTCAAAAAGCTTTATGTAGTTTAATGGATGTGTTTTTGTTAATAAAGACACGAAAAATTACATACCTTGTGACAAATCAACATTATAGTGTTAGAAATATTTTAGAATAGAAATAAATAAGGAGTTGGCTTAAAAACATGAAAACACTATATTTAATATATTTATTTATTCTATATAGAAATAACATCTTTATCGACAATAAAACTTTCTAAATTTGTAAAGGAATGAGAAGATAAGACAAAAAAAAAATATTTTTTTTATTATATATTTTTTTTGTGTAGTAACAAACATTAGTAGATTTAAAAATACTGTAATGAAACATTATATCTTTTAATATTATGATTGTAAATGAAATTATATGACTATTAATAAAACAATTATATATTTTAAATTAATCTGAATGGTTGTTATTCCATTTTATTTCAACAATTATAAATATCAAAATTAATTATAAAAATTAAAGAAATTAAATAAAAAATAAATTAATTTCTTTGATATTTTAAATTCTAAAGTGCAAGAGTATCATGTATCATATTTTGATATTATAAATATTTATATAATATCATTAATATACTCACTAAAAAACGTTTTTTCAACGTGATTTTCATTTAATGTACTATATAATAAAAATTCATATTTATAAATACTTAGAAGGAAGTATTTTTTTTTAAATTTAAAATTTATAAAAATAAATATCAAACATCAACAATACCCCCACAAGTTTATAATGAATGTCAAGTTACATTAGTTTAAATTCGAAAATGAAGAATACAAACAAAATTGAACATGCTTGCGTGCCTCGTTAGTTCACTAGGAATTATTATAAGCATGGGAAGGTATTATCTCAATAATAGAATGAATAAATTAACACCGTATGGTTATCAATTAAGTTCTATGTATATGGGGTAACCTCATATTCAACCACTCCCTCCCCCACGCCACATTTAAAACAAAGAGGTTGATGACGAAATAGAGATAAATAGTGGTAGTTAGGAACAAATTTAAGGTTACCTTAGGAACAAATTTAAGGTTACCCTAACAAAACAGTCGAGGCTTGCAATTCGCTTTGTAGTAGACAACTTTATAGATAATAATCGAATAGTCTTTTAATTTACTTTTGTAATTATTATACTTGTAATTTTAATTTTATAAACTAAAATTATCAAAATTTAAATTCAACCATGTAATCGTAATATAAATTACTTTACAAATATAAATATTTATTTACTAAATTATTGAATTTACTTTACATTCAAGTTATTTTAATTATTTCATTACTTCTTTAATTGAATTATTATTTGTTTTTAGTGGATTTGATTAGATTAATACTTATATATTATTTGTTTGTAGTGGATTTGATTAGATTAATACTTATATAATTTTATAATACAAATTTAAAATTATATAAATAGATTTAATACTATATCCAAAGTTAATTAATTGAGAACTCTAGAGTTCAAACCAGTTAATTTATTCTAATCTTAAGTTTGCAAAGTCCTTAACGACTCTACATCAAACAATTGGTGATGACATTTAATTTTTTAGAATTATGGCACTGAAGAAACCTGAATTAATTTTTAGTTTTCAAAAACTAATATCTCAATTTTAGTTTTTAGTTAGATGATGTATTTACTGGAATTAGTTTTCAAATGTCAATTTATCTAAAATAAACAATTAATTAGTTAATTACTGGTTTGATTTTATTCATGTAATTCTAATGTTTATTATTATTTATTTTAAAAAGCTTTATATAGTTTAATTGATGTGTTTTGCTAATAAAGATACAAAAAGTTGCATAACTTGTGAGAAATCAATATTATAGTGTTAGAATTATTTTAGGATGGGAACAAATAAAGAATTGGCTTAAGGATATGAAAACACTATTTTTAAAGTGTTTATTTGTCTTATACCGAGACAATATTTCTGTAATAGAACTAAGTTTTTTAAACCGGTAAAACAATAAGAAGATAATGCAAAGGAAATAATTTTTTTTTGTTTTTTGTAAAGTAATAAGTTTTAATGATTTGAAAACATTATAATGAAATATTATTTCTTTCAATATTATGATTGTAAATAAAATTACATGATTATTGATAAAATAATGATATATATTAAATTAAACTGAATAGTTGCTATTCAATTTCACCTCACAAAATACAAATGTCAAAATTAATTATTAAAATTAAATAAATTAAATAAAAAATGAATTAATTTCTCTGACATATTCAATTTCAAGTACAAGTGCTATCTTCTGATATTATTAATTTCTATATAATAATATGAGAAAGTGCATTAAGAAAAAAATTTCACTGTAATTTTCACTTAATTTACTATATAAAAGAAATCCATCCTTATAAAAAACTTAGAAACAAGTGTTTCTTTTTAATTTAAAATTCATAAAAATAAATATTAAATATTAACAATTCTCCACAAGTTTGTAATGGATATCATGGAATATTAGTTTAAATTAAAAAATAAAGAATAAAACAAAATTGAAAATGCATGCGTGTTTGGTTAGTTCACTAGGAATTATTATAATCATGGGAACGTATCATCTCAATAATAGAGTGAATAAATTAACACCCTATGGTTACCAACTCGGCTCTATGTATATGGGGTAACCTCATATCGAACCACCCCCTCCCCCACGCCACATATGAAACAAAGAGGTTGACGACGAAATAGAGAATAGTGGCAGTTGGGAACAAATTTAAGGTTACCCGAAAAAAAATAGTCGAGGCTTGCAATTCGCTTTGTAGGAGATAACTTTATAGATAATAATCGAATAGTCTTTTAATTTACTTTTAATTAATATACTTACAATTTTAATTTTATAAACTAAAATTACCAAAAAAAATATTCCATTATCCAGAGTTTAAATTCATGCATGTAATCATAATATAAATTACTCTATAAATATAAGTATTTATTTACTAAATTATTGAGTTTACTTTACATTCAAATTATTTTAATTGTTTCATTACTTCTTCAATTGAATTATTATTTGTTTGAAGTGGATTTGATTAGATTAATACTTATATAACTTTATAATATAAATTTGAAATTATATAAGTAAATTTAATACTATATCCAGAGTTAGTTAATTAAAACCCCTAGATTTCAAAATAGTTAATTTACTCTAATTAGTTAATTAAAACCCCTAGATTTTAAACTAGTTAATTTACTCTAATCTTAAGTTTGCATAGTCCTTAATAAGTCTACATCAAACAATTAGTGATGACATTTAATTTTTTAGAATTATGGCATTGAAGAAATCAAAATTACCGGAATTGATTTTTTGTTTTCAAAAACTAATATCCCAATAGTTAGATGATGTATTTACTGAAATAGTTTTCAAATGTCAATTTATCTAATATAAACAATTAATTAGTTAATTAACTGGTTTGATTTTATTCATGTAATTCTAATGTTTACTATTATTTATTTTAAAAAGTTTTAT